AAACATTTAGGGAAATAAAGTGTCACACTGACCTCTTGTGTGAATTTAATTGTATTGCAGTTGCCCACGTGAAAAGACAAACTTTATTTTGGAAAGTTGTTTGTCACGACTGAGGTGGTGGTGAAAATTCATTCACGAGGGAGGTTTCTATTTAAACGCTCATCTCTGATTTTGTTGATGTTTACACTCGGATCAATGTTAGCTAAAAGTCTCAATTTAACATTAAAAATACAAAATATTAAACTAGAACAACAGAAGAATCAATTGTTTCTGCTTATACTATGATTAGAAAACATTTTACTGTTGATATCAAAAGAAGAAAGAAATGTGAAACTTCGACCGTTCTACAAGCAGTCGTGAACTTCAAAACATAAATGCATAAGTATCCAAAGGGCAGTTTTGAAATGGATCACAAATTCGCTGCAGCACAGTATAATGCTTGCTGTATGACAAACTGTGTAAATGCAGCTTAGAGGCTTTTGCAGGTCTTGAACTGGTTGGTGTGTTGCACTCCCCACGGGGCACATAAGGAAGCCTAAAACGCCTATATCAGCAAATGAGAAGTGCTGAATGAGACAGAATCTGGGCCTTCGCTTTACTCTGAGTAGCACTCTATTAATTGTTAACATGCTGGAGGTAAAAGAAAAACACCAACGAACAAAACACTCAATACAATAAAGGCATTCATAAGAGACCTACTTCTCCATGAGAGATGTTTGTTCCCAACCTCTTTGTTCACTTTCTTTAGTTTCCTAAATTGAGGCTGGTTGCAATCTCTGCATCTCTGGCACACCAACTGAATTGAACTTGCAGCCAGAGCAACTCTTGGAAAGATTAAAGGACTGTTTGAATCGTGCCATAAAACACTGTTTCTCAAAGTGATGTCAGGGGTTCCCTAGGGTTCCACGACCCATATCTAAGTGGTCCAAAGAAAAATGTGCTATAAATTATAGAATTGTGCTGCAATATTAAAAGGTGCATGTCTGAAGATTACAACAACACAAAAATACTGTGCTACATTATCTTTGGGGCAATACAAATGTATATGATCATGAGACATCTGCGTTATGCTTTTTTGAATAAACTGACCGTAATTTTTGCATGAAACTTAAAGGTAAAAGGGAAATATGTGAAAGGCAGTGCTGGCCTGGGAAAGAAGTGGACTTTTAGACTGGTGCTACATAGGTTGTTGTTGAGTATTAGTTGTCTGTGATGTTTGCAAACCCTGTTTTGCATATCAAACTCAATGCAAATGCTCCACTCAAGCTCAAAGAGTGCGAAGAAAAAGAGAGATAGAAGTGGAAAAGCAGTGTACAGAAGGCAGATTGTGTTAAAGGCAAGATTAGGGACCCGAGGTGTTTCAGGAACAGGGAGATAAACTACCTTAAAACTTCTTTTTGAGAGTGAGGAATACCTTATCTGCAATTTTGTGCGTGTTGTGATAATGTGTAGGCAAAATAATTCAGCTTTTGCGGTATGTAACAAAATTTCTTTTTCCACTTCAAAGCACATACTAATCAGGCACTGACGCTGAAGTGATAGCAAGGCTTGTTTGGGAGCTACGGTTAGAACAGCAGGGCTTTTTTATGGCATACCTTTTGGACAGCAAACTTGATTGACTGAGTTTTAACTTTCAAAGCTACTCAGACTTTGACTTTTGTTTTCTCTTCCCCATTTGCCACCAATTAGTTTTCACTTTTGATGCCTTGATTTTGCTGTTGGATTCTTCTTTTGTAGTCTGAAGTGCAAAGACAAGAGCTACTGCTTTTACAGTTAGCCTTTAGTTCCTTATATATTTTGTACTTCGACAGTGGCTTGCTTTTTCAGGCCAGGAAACTCCTCCTGCTTCCCTCTAAGTACTCTGGTTCATTGATTTAATTGGTGGAAGTTAGTCGATGATACAGCGATAGACTGATGGTTCATCTAATCACCTGTCAGTGCTCTGTTTTTGCCAAGGAATTTCCAAATGGAGATTTCCTGGCACTCCCATGTAACAACCCATCTGCATGTCATGCAAGGCCGTATGTCATTTTTTTCTCTATTATACTTGGATTTTCCATTAATCAGTCTACAGCATAGAAAGAAAAGTGACTCCATTTGGGCTGAGTGTTGTATATTAATCTTGGTCTCGAGGCATTTCACTGAGACTTTTTCCCACATAATCCTACTTTATCTCCTATGAAGTTAACTTCTAATCTTCTTCTTTCAGCTACTTCCCTCAGGGTTCGTCGCAGCATCCCCTCATCTGTCTCCATCTCAGCCTATCCCTAGCATCCTCGCCCTGTCACAATAACAGCTCTGCATGTCTTCCTTCACTCCATCCATGAACCTCCTCTGTGATCTTTTTATCTTTAACATCTGTTGCCAGTATATCCACTATCCCTCCTCTGCACATGGTCAAACAATCTGAGCCTTGCCTCTCAACCTTTGTCTCGCTAAAACTAACCTGACCATTCATTCACACTCATTTCCAACCTGAAAATCTGATCATCTTCAACTCTGATAACTCCAGCCTCCTTTTGTTTTCAGAGCCATGATTTCCAAAACATACATCATTGCAAGTCTGTCATCTTTTAAACCTTCCTTTTCACTCTTACTGTCCCTCTGTCATAAATCACCCCCAACACTCATCTCCATCTCCTCCGCCATGCCTGCACTCTAATTTTCACCTCTCGTGCACTGTCCATTGCTTTAGATGATTGACCCCAGTTATATAAACTTGTCCACGAGCACTACTTCTGCTCCTTCTGTCCAGCTGTCCATGTCTCATTCACACTTTCATTCCTCTTCTTTCCAGAACATACCGCCACCTCTCCAGGCTCTCTTCCATTCGCCCCCTGCTCTCACTCATCACAATGTCTTCTGCAAATGTGATAGTCCAGTGACGTTGACACTGTGAAGTTTAAGGATTATAAATGGGAATGAAATGCTGGATTGTGTTTGTGAGACACCATCACAAGAAACATGGCTGTATTGTTTGTTTTAGGTTTAGGAGCCTTTAAATAACTATCGAATATCTTTCTGCCGAAGTATCTATCAAAAAAGGCAAACAGTGCATCACAAGTAGACACATTTGCATCTTTAATTAGATTTCTGGTGAAATGTTAGTTTTTGTTCATTTATTTATTTGTTTGAAAGCAGAGGAAAGTGCTCTCAAACTCCTGAGTCAGAGTTCAGTGAATTCAGAATATTTTAAATTATAGTGATATTTTTCTTTTTTGCTTTGGTGTTTTTGAATTCACCCATCAAATAATATTCCATTAAACCCTAGAGCTGTTTAGGACAACTTCTCCAAGAATTTGGCAGCGTAATGCTTTTGCTGGAATTAAAAATGGCTCAGGAAAATGACAGGTTGCATAAGTGTGGAATTTTATATCTGTAGTGAAAACATGTACTGCGTGACTCAGGCTGAGAGAGCACTTGTCTGTGCCAGACAAACTGTAGGCCAGCATTTCGAAGTCAGAGAGGGCAAATGCAAATAAAAACCAATGTTAAGCCTGTAAAAAGCACTCCAGTGAGATTGGTTGAGTTTAACACACACAAAAAAAAAAAAAAAGTTCTGCTCACAATGCTCAAATATTAACGCAAATAAATGACAAATGGAAAAGTATTTACCACACACTGATGTAGAAAAGCTTTGCCTGGCGTGTGTTTATTTGCATGTGTCTGTGTTACGCAGGGCTAGGACCACTTGACCACTCTAAGCCGAAGGGTTTCACCGTGCTGACTGCAGTTTTTCTGCACCTACACTCAGCAACCAGTCTTGAAGTTCCACTGTTTGGATCACTTTGAATTCTCGCCGTACTGGAGCTGAACGACGACCTGTGACTTGACGGCACATCGTGTAGCACCTTCGAGATCGTGAACACATTCGCAACAATCGCTTCCTCTGATGCAGCACTCAGGAAGCACAAAACCTCAATATTCTGAGCCTTTTGCAAAATCTACCTGCTTTAAATGGCAAAAAATAAAAATAAAAATTGGGAATTGAGATTTTTGTGCTTTGCAAGAGTTGCTGCTTTTTATTATGTAAAGCTGCTATGGGAAACGTAGATTTTAGGGACTTGGGCACTTAACAGACTGAGATTAAATCAGCTGTTTTTAATACATTTTTAAAGTCTGTCAACCTTTGGAATGACCACGACTTCTGAACTGATTACTTCAAACATGTGTTTGATCTTCATTCATGCCCAAACACCCTGAATCCTACACTTCCCCTAATGCAGCTTTCCTCTCTATACAAACTCCCACAGCCCTCAAACACAGCAGCACCAGTTTGTAATGCAAGCTCTCTCATATAAGCTTCTTTCTAAAAATGTTCCCCCTGAGCCACAGAAGACATTATAAAATATTTTCACAGGAGCACTCCTCCTCATTACGAGCGAGCTGACCTTCAGATGTGGTACTGTATCTGTGAAATGGCTTTTTAACTTAGTCCTGATTTAATGGTTTCTTAAACTACTGTCCCAGCCCTAGCATTTGTGTGTGTGTGTGTGTGTGTGTGTACTGTATTTTTGTGTGAGTGCTTTGACCCTCCTTAATCTGTTTGAGACTGCTCAGGTCACTTGGGCCAGCCTTAGAAACTCACTGGCACCTGGAAGGAGAAGCAAATAGATGTTAACAATTTAAACTCCTGGCAAATTCGGGAAAGCTCCGGTCCTCGGACTGGATCACAGCCCAGCGAAGCGAGAGGCAGCGGAAGCCTGGTTGGCTGCCATTAAGAGAAGCCAAGTGTGTTTGGCAGATAGCGAGTGCAGCCAGCACTGTTGACAAGGGCCCGCTAAGTGGCCCGGACCTTCTGCAAATGAGCAGGAAGGATCAATAGGAAAACTCCTACACTACAGCGGTAGGAGCACTTGCATGGCTCTTACATCCCTCTTGACATCATGAAGGATACTAGACTGTCTTTGTGTTTGGATGTATGTGACAGAAAGATAATTGAGGGAATGATATTTTTTCCTTTACCGGATGAACAGTAAGAGAAAATACACACATCTGCATGTTTTTTTGTTTTGTTTTGTTGTTTTTTTTGTTTTACAAGGAAAACACCCACACACCCACACGATGTTCGAACATTGTACTTTCCCCCCAATGAGAATAGTTCCTCAAACCAAAGACGCATCTCTGGAGAGATAATACATTCATTCCAAGCAATGGCGATGAAGATTACAATATCTTGATAGACAAACAGGTTAATTACTTCATGGCTAAAACCTGAGTTATTCCAAAGTATTTCCATATGAAATTGCACAACAATGCACATCAAAAATAAATGATGCATTATTTCTCTTGTAATAGAGTAATTTGCATGACTGAAGCTATGCTAATATATTAATGTGATATATACACACATCAACGTATGGTTTATTTAGTATTTTACTCTGGGGTCTGAGATTATTTGGGAGGTCCAGTCAAAACACAGAACCACAGTATGACAGAATGAATTTCAGGAAGTTTTCTGACGCGCATCATCAGCTTCAAAAATGAAGTCCTTGCAACAGAGGAGTGTGACTCTAATGGTATTTCTTTTGTACACATTTGACATATGGATTTTGCTTTCAAACTCAAGAGGCAGACAGATTTGTTTGCCATGATGCAAACAAATCCAGCTCTCTCTCGCTCCCCCCCCCCTTTTATGTTGATTTGGCCTTTTTTTCCCTGTTAGTCGGTGACCTTTCTTTTTGAAAACGAGGAAGAGCGGAGGCACAGCATAATTTAATTCATCTTCAGCCCCTTGGTCTACTATTGCCTTCCCTCTTCTCCCAGCCTCTCAAGGGTGAACGCGGGTATGACTGTTTGTGTCGAGTCGGCGGGCCGAGCACTACAGCTGAGCAATGTTCAAATGCTGGATCAGTTTTAACAGGTTCCTCGTGGCACTGGAGGGCTCCGCTGCACCATTGATCCAGATGTCTTTGTCACAAAAAATCCTCATAGTCCAACAGCTTGGAGTGTTGCCTCGTCTTCCAAAGGCGGTAGAGGCGGAAGTCAAAGTACGCCTCGATCATCTCTTTGCCTGAGTAGATAGGATAGGATCATTAAAACAAAGACATGAAGTTTAACATACTATAATCAGTTATGACAAAATCCCCAACAGCAGTGGCTGAAAAGTCAGTTCAAACCATGACGGTGCCTCCACCGTGTTTTTATAGATAGCTGTAGACGCTCACTGTTGTACCTCGTCTAACCTCCTCTTTACTGTTAATGACAATCTGAAACAAAAATTTCACATTTGGATTCATCACTCCACTGACTTTTCGATCCAGTGCTTGTGTAATTTTGCATACTTCAATCTTTTGTATTGTTCCTCCTTCTTTAAGTATGGCTTCTTGGCAGTCTCACTTCCATTAAGCCACTTCTAATAAGGTTTTTGCAAATAGTAGGAATAACTGAAGAGCCAGAGATGTCTCTCGAGAATTATTGCTCAGGGCCACTTTAAAAATGACAAGAAAGTCTGGCTCCTTGGAAGTAAAATAGGAGGAAATGAGGGAAAGCTCACGACTTCTACACAGCATTATACTACCGGTACTATAAAAATGAACCTTAGTCAGAAAAGCAAATCCTGTTTGATAAATGAGAGGTGTGGATTTTCAGAGCAGTGGGCTTTAAGGAGGCAGGAGAAGTGTAATGACAGATGCTTTCATTGTTTTTGATTTGTTTAGATAAAGAGAATCTATATCTCAGCCTTTGTTTGTTGCTGATTTTCTTGCTATCAGTAATTGTGGTAAACAACAATCTGAAAAGAATTTGCTGCTCTTAGACATTAAAACTTGGAGTTTAAGAGTTTGCTAATAATCAAAATGCAATCAAGGACACAACTTTGATTTCTGCTGTAGAACCATTTCTTTGTCTTTGCTTTAGGGTACTCTACATTTGTATATGCCGATGCTGATGCCTTTTTAGAACAAATGTAAAGGAAATCTGGAACTGGGTGTAAGTAAAACGCTCTAAATGTTCCTGGAGATGAGAACAGGCTTGTTTTTAATACTGATTGTGATACTGAATACTGTACATCCGTACTCCCACATGAGGCTAGAAAGGAGATGTGCAGGTCTCCAAGTGCTCAGTAACAGCACTGGACTGGGTGCTGTGCAAAGTTTGGAATAGGAAATCTAAAAAAATGAGTTGCATTAAACATCACTTTAACACCAAAACATCAAGAAGCCACCCTAACAGAAGAGGAAGATTATAAATAAAACGCAAGTGATTATTAAAGAAGAAATTAAACAAAAAGGAGATGACTGTGAAAATAAATCAGATTTTTAAAATGAGGGAACAGCTGTTTGAGTAAATTCCTTGTGCAGTTGTTAAAGCAGGACAGATGGCACGTGTCCGTATCATTTCATATTTACCAGACGTATCGCACACTTCTGTGTGTGCGCAAGTCCCTCTACAGCACACGTTTGAGTGCGTTGGGATGTTTGTGTGGACCTACCCTGTGCAGACAGCTCCAGCGGTGACTCGAACTCAACAGAATAAGGCCTCATCAGATTCTTCAGCTTCTGGAACAGCTGTTGAGTTGAGATAAGAGAGCAAACACCAATTAATCGCATTTCACTTGACTACACTTGCAGAGGGGTCGTCTGCATCGCCTGACAAGCTCACAAACACAGAAAAACAACAGGAGGATTGCAATAAATTCAGCTTCATATGGCCAAAGACACAAATGCACACTCAGAAAGACAAACATCAATTCCCAGCTTTAAATTTACACGAGATTTTTGAATTTTTGATCACAACTGATGGATTACTGAACAAGAAAACAATCACTAGTCGCCACCTTAATTACCTTATAGCACCAATGTGCTGCTGTCTGTTTCAGAAAAAGAGAATCTCTCTTTTTCTAACACGGGAGATCCTTCATGACCAAATTCAGGCAAGAAACTTAAAGAGCAAGAAAAGCATTTCTTTTCCACTTTATGATGTGTTATCACTTTATCATGTGATTTTGTCGTGCAAATCCTGTGTTGTGGCTAACTGAAGCCATGCGGTGTATTTATGTGTTACAAATACTTCTGTTTTTTTCTAAGTGTTTGCGTTGTGCAGTCTGGAGTGAAGCATCTAGGAAAATATGTAGCTGTTTACAAAGGGACTGAAACGGGAGCCAAGATAATTCCATTAAAACTTTGGATAAACAGGCAGCATGGATGATGTGCTGTTCAGTGGCTACAGAACAGAAAACAGTAAATGAGATGTTAATTCTGATTTGCCAAACATATGAACAGTTTTGTGTGGAAAAACCTGACCACCTTCCCATCAACCATCATCACTGCCCAGCCTCATCAATGTTTTTGTGTCAGCAAATCCATGCTGCTAGGTTGGAGGCTCTCATAGCATCATAGAGCATAATGAATAAAAGTGTTCAACTGATGTTGGCAGTGTTTAAACAGAGAAACACTGAGACAGGAAGCAAATGCAGATCTCAAAACTATACCAAACCCCTGGAAAAAAGGACTTTGTGTTGTTTTGAATTCACACACTGGTGAAAGCAATGTTCATATTTGTCTGTTTGTTTGTCAGGGTGTATATTTCACCGCTGTGCAGACTGTCCAACACTGGAGAGATCCACTAAGCATTTTGGCAGACATGACTGGAACAGACAGTTAGGTCAGACTAACACCGCTGGTTAGAGTTTATATCTGTGTCTGCATCTGTGCATGCCATCATGTTTGTATTTGTGTATGTGTGTGTGTCTATTTGTGTGTGTGTGTGTGTAAATAATTATTTATGTGATTATTTATTAGGGAGGAGGAGATATGTGTGTATATGGCTGGCTTTGTGTCTTAGTTGTTCACATCAGCTAGAGGGGTGCGGTATCATTCAGCATTTGTGTTATTCAGCTCTATCCATTAACATTACTCAGAATGAGATAATAGCTGCACAGGTGGAAGAGGAGATGAGGAGAAAACAAGAAAGCCAGCGGGGCTGCACACTGATCAGACAAAGAGGCATATAAACAGACACAAGGAGCAGATATGAAAGCAGTGGGCGGCAAACAGAAAATGAGTACAGAGAGAGGGAGAAGAGAGAAGATTGGGCAGGAGTGACTGTAATGGTAAGAAACAAACCATCCCAAGTTATGAAATCAGTGCTATTTATATATAGAACTCATTTATATATATAACTATGATCGGTTCTACTTTAACACGATGTGCCTGGGATTTACTGATGAGCACTGCATCTTACGCATTTCTTTTCACCAAAATTCACACCAACAGAAGCGTTGTGCATTATCACATCATTCGTATATTGATAACATTAATAGCTTGATAGCTATATATAACAGAGCTGACTGATATATCGTCCGATATTTGCTGTTTGCCGATTTTTACTGATGTTGCAATCATGCGATGAGTGTCGTTGTTGCATAGTTTTTATCTTATACCTGAAGGAATTCTGCAACATCCTTGATGTCGACAAGTGGTGATTGGGCTGAACTAGTTCTTAGAACTTTCAATTTATCTTCACAGACTCCTTCAATACTCTTGGCATGTATTTAAATACACAAAAGGACTAGACCTCACATATTAGTGACTAAGTAATGTTATGTTTTTTAAGGTGCTTTTTGTACAACTAACTGTTTGATCACATTAGACATTAGTTACTAAGCTAACAACCCATGTGCTTTAAGGAGCAAGAATTTCACGTTATTTCAGTAAAACTTTAAGCTGACTAGTAAGACTACCGGTACTAACTACCTGCTACTAGCAAGACTATTCACTCAATAAGTAACAATGTGAAATATTAATTTATTCAACATTCTTATCTACTATCTACTGTCTGTAAATCATAAAGAAAACCACCTGACCAAAGTTCAATAAAAGTTAATGTTGCTGGAGAGCTGATGGACTTCCTCCAATAGCGTCTCCAATCCTCTGTTCTTCTAAAAATCAGCATTGTCAGTGGAGATTGCTATCGCTCAATAGTAAAATTTTACATATTCAAATAAATGTAATTTACATTTACATTCACATAAATTTAAATGATACATTTGTAAGAGCTGTTGTGATGGATTCCAATACAAATGATTAAAACTGTGACTGAGTATTAGATGAATATTTGGGCGTTTCTACAGTATTCTAGCCTATACGAGTAAACCTGCTAATTAGAAGTGAGGAAAGCATGGATAATATTGATTTGTTTCTACAATTACTGCACTCATTTTGCTGTGAGTTTGTGTAGTAGTGATCTAAATACCTTCTCGCCATTGGGGTTACCCAGGACATAGCATCCCATTATGTGGATCAGGTTTGGTTCTGGATTGACTTTACTCATGAAGCGACTGAGTCTCCTCCAGAATCTGAACAAATTCAAAGAGTACAGTTACATGGGATAATGCTTTAATAAAGAACACAGACAGGCTGAAAAATGCAAAGTAAAATGGGCAAGCATTTAAAATCAAATGCAACATTCAGACAAGCCAGATTCAAGACATGATTTGTATAACAAACAAATGTGATCAAGTCAAAATGTTCCCCTGTACAAGAAGAATAACAATAGATGGTGCACATAAATGCAAAAAATTGTAGAGATAGTGCTGCATGGTCCCAGAGGAACATCGCTGATTTGGTCAAGTGGGAGAGCATTCAAAGAAAGAGTATTAAAAGAGCATTTACATATACTTGTTATATGAACCTTAAACACACAATGAAAGTTATTAACTTATCATGAGCTCTATGTGCTTTTTTCATTTGCATTGCTTAAGAGCAATGGCAATGGTTAGCTGTTTGTCATGTTTTCTGTATTTATGTAAGTGCAGTTAGGCCCATCATTTGTTGGAACAGTCATTATAGTTTTGCCACTGTATTCAGTGGAGTACAATTTTAAATCAAACAGTCAATGTAATTGAAGTACAAACTTTACAGCTTTAATTTAAGGGTTTTTACAAATGTATTGCATTAACTATTTAGAAATTACAGTCATTTTTATACACAGTGCCTCCATTTTCAGAGGCTCAACATTAATTGGAAAATTAATTGACAACCAGTTTCATAGCCAGCACTTGTCACTGCCTTCATGAATGGAAATACAGAGGGTTTACAACAAGGTGTCAACTACTGGTTACATTCAAGAGCTGGTTTTGGCCAGAAACCTCTGGAAAGAGCTCGCACAGTGGTGAAAAAATTCTTTGGACGGATTAAAAACAAGATTAACTTCTAGCAGAATGATGGGAAGTGAAAAGTATGTAGAAGCAAGGAATAACTTATGATCCAGAGCATACCACATTATCTGTCAAACATGGAGGAGGCAATTATATGGCATATATGGCTGCCAGTGGAGCCGGGCCAATAGTGTTTATTGATGATGTGACTGCTGACAGAAGCAGCGGGATAAATTCTGAAGTATACAGGCCTATACTCTCTGCTCAGATTCAGCCAAATGCTGCAAAACTGATCAGATGGTGCTTCACATTGCAAATGGATAATGACCCAAAATATACTGCAAAGGCAACGCAAAAGTTTCCCAAAGCTATCAGATATTCTTCAATGGCCAAATCAGTCACCTGATCTCTACTCAATAGCAGGTTTTCAGTTATAAGATACAAACCTGAAGGCAAAGAGACCCACAAACATGCAACAAGTAACAGAACAAATCGAAGTGAGGAAACAGTATTTGGTGATGTCCTGTACACTGTCTGAGAGACAATCAATGACTTCCCGTCAAAGTACTGAAAACAATCCTTATATTAGAACTTATGTTGGTTTGTCCCGTTAATTTTGATCCTCTGAAAACGGAGAACAAATTCCTAAAAAATTTAATACGTTTTTTGGGTAAAAACTCCTGAATTAAAACTGATAGTCTGCACTTAATTGTTGTCGTGTACAGAGGCAAAACTAAAGAAACTGTTCCTTTGTTCAACAATTTATGGAGATAAAATGTATTTAACCATTAAATAAAGGTTAAAAGAAAAAAGCATGCACTGGCTTATGGCCATGCTTTATAAGATGTGGTAAATAAATAGGAATTGTTGCACTATTCTACATTACTGTGGCATAAACTAATATTCATTAAGGAGAGATGGACCCTAATGTCCAGAACTAGCTTACTGGCTCATGTCCTCCTCTTTTTCCACCTTAGCAAACGTTGCCACTTTATTCTTCAGTAAATACAGATGACCAGGGCCTCCCTGCAAAAAAAGTATACAGTATGTTATAGATCCTCAAACCGAAGCCAAGCTAAACCAAATACATGCATATTATTCATCGTCCCTTTACTATCCATGAAATTCATTTTCAGAAATAATTTCATTCAAAAAGGGATATCGTTGTGGAAAAATACACTATGTACAATACATAAATGCGTGCTTTAGGGTAGGACAGTTAATAAGTAAAATATTCAATTTTAATAGGAATAAAATTCTTGTTCCTCACTTGACAAAAGATGAGCATCCTCCAGAACTTGCTTCCTCTCCTGTAAGCTGTGAGCTTCTTGTCTATTTCCTCTGTGAGCAAGAGGGGGAAAGGGAGGGATTGATGTGAATGACAGGGACCGAGAGAGGGAGAGAAAAAAGAAAAGCGAAGCGACGTGTAAGAATGTAGGAAGAGAGGAAGAACACAAAGAAAATCCCAGGAGGGTGAGTTCAACTACAGGTGTAGTAATAGACAGCGGAGACACAAACAGAAGATGTAATTTAAATTGAACTCAACACTGTGTTCTTCAGGCGTCAGAAAGTGTCATCGTAAAATAAAACAGCTCGATGAATTTCAAATGAAAATCTGTATGTATCTGTAAAAACATCCATGGGCATCCTTGTACCTTCTATATGAGAGCTCTAATCAATGCAGAGATCATTATTACATTAGGAAACTCTGGAGAATGTGACTGTAAATGCCTCAGTGTTCAGAGGGGAGAAATCCATTGCAGCACTAAACAGTTTCTAAATAAATAAGCCACATTAGCCAAATCTAAGTTAATTTCTAGAGATTTGAAAGCAAGTAAGGTTTATCCACAAGATATTTGTGTGACCTTTAACTCCACAGGCAACACTATAAAGTAAAGATGCCTGTTTTCTATTTCACAGGAAGGAATTGACCTCATGTTTTATTCTGTTTATTCTGACAGGATGTTATGTAAGTCTTTTGTATCTATACAAATTTCATTATTCATCATGTCACTTGTTAAACATTTACTTTCAGGCTCAAAAATGTTTGGCAGTAGATGTATTTCATACACATAGTTTTATATTCCATTAGTGAAGTTTTGATTGTAGAAAGAAAGTGAGAATTAAAAAATAATAAAGAAGAAATAGTGAAGGTGAAAATGGCAGAGAAGAACACGCACCCCACAGAAATACTCACCCAAAATATCATCAAAAGTTGCATGTTCATGGTCCTGAAGAAAATGAAAATTACACAAAACATCTTAGCAAAGGCAGTTTGCATGGTTGATATATGTGTATATTTTAGTGTGACTTTCTGTAGTTCTTGTCTACTGTATGTTTCGGTGCATTCCACTCACATAGAGGATGGGAATGATGGAGGGGTCGTCCCTACGGATTATGGTGGGAATGTACTCGGCCTTGGGGACCTTAGAAGAGATCAGCTAAACATGAAGCAGAAACAGCAGAGGAGCGGAAACTTGTTAGTTTCGATGTAAGATGGAAAAGTACAAGAATTAATACAAAGAGAAAAGAGGAAAAGGCAGAATTTCTTATCGTACGCTTATATTTTATTACAACTATGCCCTAGGTAATATTCTACAGATGTAATAAAGATGTAGATTTTGTATATGTCTTAATTACTAGAGAATAAAAACAAAACAAGAATGATTATAATAATTTTAATGTACACTCACTGGCTACTTTGTATTCCTCTTCAATTGTTTCTAATCAGCCAATCACAAGGCAGGCCAATCAGCCTATCCGATTATTGTTGCTGACCATAGCCATCACTTTATGACCAAGGCGTACTCATGTTGATGATGGCTACAGCTCAAATCATCTCAAGCTGGTTTCTTGAACAGGGCAGTGACTTCATTTCACTCAAATGGCCTCCACAGCCAAAAATCATCAACCCAAATAAGCACATTTGGGATGTGGTGGCGATATGGGAGATTTGCATCAAAGATGTGCAGCCATTCAATCTACAGCAACATTGTGATGTGATCATGTCAACACTGATCAAGCTATCAAAGAAAAGTTTCAAACGGCTTGTTGTTTCAGTACCAATAAGCATGTAGGCAGTTACATGGTTAAAATAACTAATTCAGTTCCTTGTGAACAAAACCAACAGGACAGAAAACAATAACCAAGGATGATGCACCCATATAACGTTCCCTTATGGATCTCTTACCATGATTTTGGGAGGTATAAAGTCATCTCCCTCACATGCCAGCCTCTCCATCTCCCTTTCCTCCTCCCAGTCTATATTGTCGTCAAGACCTCCTTCATCCAGAGTGCCACAAGAGGTCTGCAGGTCTCCACCTGCAGAAAATGTAAGATAAAGAAGGTCTGAGATAATAGAGTGTAAGCAAGTTGTTGGAAGTTGGGTGAGAGGCAAGAAAGGTGACAGAGAAAGAGAAACTCGGGGAATGAAGGATGGATGTGTCCAGGAAGTGAAGCAAGGTGAGTGCGGGGGAGAGAGAAAGGATGGAGCTGTTAATGATGGCAATGGCATACAAAAATGACAGGTGGAATAGGAAAAAGCAGAGAGTAGCAAAAACAATGGGGAAAAAAAAGAAAATGACTGATGGGAAGCATAGCAGCAAGATTTCAGGTGTCAACTACAAAAAATGGGCTAGAAAAATCGAACTTAGTCTGGAGACCGGTTATTGTAAAGCAGGGACATGTTACAGGACACATATCGAGTACAATAATTATCCATATGTTTAATTAGTTCTAAAATTGTTGACTAAATATCCACGTACAAATGTTTGGTGGCCAGTGCTGTTACATGTCTCTTCTGATCAATGTCCAAAAATGGGCATATTAACCTTTCATTCTATTAAATTCTATATTGGACCTGTGTTACCACTGAAATGTGAAACACAGTATTGAATAATGCAATGCTGTAATGTTTGTTGGCCAAATAATTACCTGCCTGTTCACAAACAGAGGGATTTATTTATGTGATTTCAGATTATACTATAGTAACAAGGGGTTAATAGTTAATAACTGTAATGATGCTCACTCACATCTTTTCTCGGAAGGTTAAAATCTTCCATATTTATTAATACAGAAACACTTAGGCTCGTTCACACTGATCCACCCATGTTGTGGCTGAAACCTTTGTAGGTCCCAATATTTGGCTTGGTTTATTACATCTGAGATTTTTGTACCAGTGGACATTTGTTGGACATCAAGTCAGGCTTGTGTGTGTTTTGTCTATGTTGCTTGTTGTTTTGTTGACATGGTTTGATGTGAAATTTACGTTAACTGCACTAATGAGAGACACGAATATGCTCGCTCCTGAGCCGTGTTTCTTTGATGTGTGACCAGTTGGTATGGTATGAGACTATTGAAATGAAACAGCGTGAAAACTGAGGAAATGATAAACAAGACTGACATCAAAGTCTCCAGGAAACCGCCTGTGATTTAACACCACTCTTCCCCACAACAAAAAAAAAGCGAAAAATATGGGCTCAACCACACTTTTAAGCTGCAATAAACAACTCGTTAATCTTTCATTAGACTATGGAAGACAGAAAGACGATGAATGCAGTTTAGAATGATTCAAAGCCTTCCAGAAACACTGAGACACATACGCCTACAACAGTTGTAGGCGTATGACAGCTGACAGGGCTTGACTTAAGACACACACCATTTTTGAGGACGTACTCACAGAAAGAGAGAGCATCACAAAGTTGAAAAAGACCCACGGTCATACACAGACAGATGAACAGGGTCAGAGTCGACAGCAGAGACAGTCAGTTTGTACGTGTGAACGTGCGATTCTACGAGTGTCCACAGATTTGATTTTCCTGTGTTAGTTGGCCTTGAACTGCCAAAATCAGGAAGTGAGCTGTAAGACTGCAGCAACAAAATGTCATCTTATTTCAAGGGAGAGAGAGAGAGCGCGACAGCACTGTGACACGTACTGTCCATGAAATGTGACTTTCATTTTCAACTGACTACAAACAATGAAACAATGATAACCTTATGTGGATCTTATTAGGTCGCTTTTCAGTTCTGAATACTGGAAATCTTGAGATGATTGTGGTAAAAATGATTATTTGGGGATTTTTATAAAGACTTTAATACTGTAATATCATTTAGTAGGGTCTTATTTGTTTATTTCTCTACATTTTATTGCAAATGCAAAGTCTCTGACTGCATTCTTAAGGATTTGGTGGGTTGGCCATCACTGACCACTCAAAGAAAGCAGCGCTAGTTTATTTTCTGTTAAAGCTGTTTTAGTTCTATATCGGTGTGTCAAACATAAGGCAAAGGGCCTAGAATTGGCCCAGCAAAAGCTCCAATTTGGCCCATCGCATGGACTTACAATTGTATTTTCTTTGTTTTTACAGCTTTTACAACATTCATACTACATCAAAGTAACTGAGTAAAGGAAAAACTGTTTTTTTTTTTTACCTTTCTTTCTTCTGTTTTATAATTACACCCCTCAAATTTACACATTTATTTTCTTTACAACTTAAGCCCAAAGAGTAGTGCTGATGGATTACTTTGATTTATTCTGATTTACTCTTTCCTATACAGCACTTCTTTATCATGTAGAGAAACTGAGACATACTGTTGAAAATTCATTTTAATATCCAGGGATTAAATGTGTAGTCACACTCGACAGAAAGAGAACTTTCACTGCTATTAAATCGCAGCTACTCTCCTTTAGATGCTTGCTTTTTGATGAGATCTGGCAGATCTGGGAAAACAGCGTTTCGTTCCTATGCACCTTGTACAGGGAATACTTTACAGAAAGACCTCCATTTAACATGCCACTACCTATTGATGCATTCAAAAACATAATAAGGAAAGCAGTGAAGAAGACTTGTGGGCGTTTCTTTTGAGAAGCCATTTAATGTTTTATGTTATGGGTATTTTGACATTATGGACAATGTTGTGGATTTATATTTTATGTTTTATTTGTAGAATTATTATTTAGATGTTTTGGGTTGAGAGATTGTGATCTCAATGCGACTTCCTAATAAAATACAAGTAACACAAGGATACGTCTGATTTAGCCTCAGTCAACTCATACTCTTAAGTCAAAGTGTTGAATAGCAGACCTTTAGTGTTTCATGAGAAATGCTAAGTGGCTTTCAACTTCTTGTGAGTCACCTGAGTGTGGAAATTCATTAATGACAGGGCACGAAGCCAACTCAAGCTGTAATCAATCTGACAGTCAAAATGTGATTGCTCAAAGGGACGCATGGATGATTTCTGACCGCACACATAATGCACTGACCGAAATTTATTCTCACAATTTTCATTTCTGTTGTCCTGTCAGACTTAATTTGTGGTTAACATCTGTAATAGACACTCTTGCATATGGATGTCAGGTTGATATTTAATTTATGTTGTTGCCAGCTGATGGTGCTGGGAAGCAGCGTGACTTAATTTAAAATATGGACTCTTACAGAACCAGGTCAGGCTTTTTTTGTTTTGTTTTGTAAATGCTAGAAATAGAAACTGACAAAATTTATCAAGCAAAACATTCGCTGCTTGCAAGCATGTGCTAATAATATTTGTCTACGAGGTTTAAAACCTTTTTAAAAGGGAATGTTTTTGTGCTCATCTCACTTTGCTTAAATGCAAAGTTTTATGTCAACGTCCCAACATTCACGACTGCAAATTTTGCTACATACAAATTAAAAGTCACCTATTAGGTTTGTCCTTATTTTTCTTATCCAACTACAAGGTGGATGTCCATATTAAATGTTGCTTAAATGTAGTATATGCAGAAGTAATCTCTGTGACCCAAAGGGTCAGACTTGAAGCTACGCTGAAAGCTTGGTTTGCAAAGGTTCCCCCCCCCCCCATTATCAAGGTGGGGTAAGTAATTTTAGCACAGATTTCCTTATATGTTAAAAAACTTGACTCTGGAAGCCCGATGAGAGAATGTTAAAACCTCCCTATTTAAGTGTTTGTAATCTGGTTAGCTTGAAAAACAACATTTTCTCTCTAACTATTTGCGTTTGCTCCCTGCAGCTGTCAGCAACTCTTTGTTGGTGTCTGTTTGTTTGTCGTTGTGTGCACATGTGTGAGACTGCGTAAACTCACTCTCTCTGGGTTCATGAGGAGAGTCATTCTTGACAGGGGTGGGATCACTCCAGGAACGGCTGAAACTCTTCGATCTACGTTCAGCGAATGCTAGTGCAGGCGGGGAGAGAGAAACCTGCAAACTGGCTGTTTCTGCTATACACTCACCATCTTCAACACATGAAAGCGCAAAGGTGGATGGAGGAAGTGCACAAATGTAGTGTAAATACGATGGCATCTCTCCTCTGCACAAACTGCCTACATGTACAAACGAACAAACACGTACTGTACAGTAGACAAACAGTCATCCTCTCCTCGCTCCAGTTTCTATATCCTACCAGCTTCACTGAGCTACTCTGCGATAAAATCTGTTCTGCTTTGAACAGTAATCACTGTGCTCTTAGAATATTTTTAGACTACTTGAAAGTGTTTGATACAGTTAATCAACAGTGGTCCTCAGGGCATCATATTTTTTGGCTTGTGTGGATTTTCAGGACGATGGGTCCTGACTAGGGATGGGTACCGGTATCGGTTCTGACATAAACGGTAGTAACCAGACCGAAAAGCAGCGCACATTTCAGTGCTTTATTTCGGTGCTTTTCTTTCCTGAGCTGTGATACACTTTAGATTCTCGCCAATCATTTTAGATTTCCGAGGATAGTAGGCGGGCCCAGGTACGTACGTTCTTGTAGAGCAGAGCTACAGATTAAAAATACCCAAGGCGAAGCGGTCAAAAGTCTGGCTGTACTTCACAGCAAAATATGCAAACTCAGCAGCCTGCAACAAGTGCTTTAAGCTGATACTGTGATACTGTGAAACTCTCAAAGGAGGTAACACCTCAAATCCGATGAAAAGCCGAGAAATGTGCCGTATTTGATAGCTTGCTGCAAGACCTCACGCTGTGCACATCTACTGCGGGTGTGGTGCCTCGGACCGGAGTTAGCAACATCCCCCAAAAACTGGAGGAGTAGAGTCCTGGCCCCTAGCCCTGCCAGTGTAGCAGAAATGATGACGGATGATGATGCAGCAGCAGCAGTTCTTCTCTGCGTGAGTAGCTAATTTACGTTGAGTAGGCTAACCACGTTATTACATTAATGCATGTAAGCTGAACTAGCAAACATCATCATAGCTACATGCGGCTGTCCTCTTGTTTGATGGCAGATACTCCCTTCACCCTGGCCAAAAAGGCTAAAATGACCAAAGAAAAAGTGGAAAACAGTTAAACATGAGAGGTGTTTGGCCAAAGTTTGTGGTTTTTCCATTGTTTAAGCACTGCTTCCAGCCAAGAATGATATCATATATGCCCCATAGCTGCAGAAAAGGCTGTGTGTGTTAGAAAAACACACACAGTGGAATAGTATCAGCCCGGATGTCAACGTTATTGAAGCAGTGTGGGATCAACTTGATAGAGAATGGAACAAAAGCAAACCAACATCCAAAGAAAAGCTTTGAATGTCCTTTACGAAAGCTGGAGAACTATTCCTGAAGACTACTTAAAGAAATTACAAGAAAGTTTTCCTAAGCAGCTCACTATGTGTTGAAGAATAAAGGTGGTCACACCAAATACTCTGTTTTTGCCTTATATATAAATGGAAACATATTTGCACATATTTCAATAAATCGTTGCGCCTTTTTCCTATTTTCTGAGCAAAATATAAAGAAATGAGGGATAGCTCAAGACTTTTGCACAGTACTGTAGGAATGTGAGATCACTTTCCCTTACAGACATCAGCATCAAGATTTGGGGATGTCATATATTTCTACAGTGAAAGAATCAGGAGATGGTGTCATGTTTAGGTTTTAGTAATGGCTTCAACAGAGACTTTAAAGATTCTTTGATTTTCATTTAAGAAAGATGGCTGTATTAATTTTGAACGTTCACATGGATTTATGAGTGCTGACAGAAATAAAAAGATCACCATTTTTAGCAGAGCACACTGTACGTGTTTTCTTTGTACTTCCATATTTTCTAAAATCATAAAAGACAATAAAACTCTGGATGAGTCAATCCAATCTATCAAGTTTCTTGAAAGGTTGCAGTCACAGGAGTCTAAGATCTCATTTGTCTCACAGACCCGTCTCAGTGATGCCCCGCTCACTATTTTTAAAAAGAAAAACACACACTTTTCAATCACCGCAACCCATTGCCTCATTTTTTGCCTTTTTAAAAGTATGTAATTTATTTTTGTGTGTGCTTTACGACAAAAACAACCAAAAAAAACAAACATTTAAAGTGCTGCAACTAGAAAGCACGTACTGTGCACAGAGACACACACACACACATAAATACACATGCACAGTCATATCGCTGACTTATCAAACACGCACTGATCAATATATAATCTTCAAAGAGAGACAATATGCTGATTTAAAAAAAAAAAAATCCCAGCAAAGCAGCAGCAGTGCTTGGTGCCACACACACAGGCGAGAACACGCCAAAATAAACAGGAAAACAAAACACTTGTGATGGCGGGGTGAAGAACATCACAGTCAATTTGAGCAAACATATCAACCACACACATCTGACTCACTCTGTGCTTTAAGCCTTCTGCTGCCCACCATCCGAAGATGCTTCCGGAAGTTCCTGTGGGTAGCAAAATCAAAGCGGAGGAGGGATAACAGAGGACAGAGGAAGGACCAAAATGTAAAGAAGAGAAAGGGGAAGCGGTGGGTGGGGAGAAAAAAAGTCAGGCAACACACAAAAACACACACATTAGTGTCACGCATCTATTTATAACAGAGGTTTGAAAAAAGAGCTAATTAGGTAAATATATATTCATTTACTTGTCAGCGTGAGTGGTCAAAACAGTGCTGTGGGAGTAATGTGGGCTACCACATGGTGACAATACCTCTTTTTATGCTTTTTTTTTTTTAGATTGTTGAAACGCACAAGATTATAATGCAACAGCAGCCAGAAGGGAAACCCTGCTCAGCTCTCATCTGAACAAGACATTAAAGCTTCAGAAGTAGCTTTTTTTGGTCAAGTTAGCATAGACCTAGTGAACAATTTATGGAATAATGTCCATGACATATATTGACCATGTCTAAAGTCTTTAGGAAATACTCCTCCTCTGCAACCAGTGTGTGATTGGTGCAAAAATGGTTTTTACTCAGTCCGGTTTATCAATATTAGTGGTGGAGTTTGTTAACAAGTTTAAAGCAAAAAATCAAATAAATAAAAACACAAATCAGACTAAAATTATAGCACATGAAAAGACAAGAAACTCAGATATTTCAGGTAATACTGAACTAAATGGGCAACACACTTGCATAGTACACACAGCAGGGACATTGCTAACCCTAACACTGAAAAGAAAGAAGGATGATAGTTATGCATCTATTTTAAAAGGTTCACCATAAAATGCTTAAAAAGGTACATACTTTCATGAAACTATAGATAAAGGACATAAACGCGTGCTTTATATATTATAAAAACTGTGGTATGAGTCAGAGTGTGGCTTTCAAAGAATTTGCCAAATGAGTTGTCAATCAAATGTCATATTAAATAACCAGAGATACACATATTTGATATTTAAACTGTCTTGTACACTGAAACATAATGTGTGACTGGTGTTGGTTTTGACCCATCTAAAACCAGATCATACACACATAAACGTTCATACTAGCCTATGAGTAAGTAAATATTGGAGATGTTGCATTACCATGCACTGTTTGGAAGCGTTTAATCTTCTTAATAGCAGCAAAGTATTATGGTTTGTGTAGACTTTGTGGGTGACTTGCTGCCTGATCCTGACATAATGTTCTATGCAAGAGTCCCAGATAAACATCCTTTTATCTTTCTGAGCTCCTCCCATGTCCCCTCTACACTCAGTGTTGATTCACTAAGCTACCAGTCAACACTCATTATTAATGGTCTCAGCGTGTGGTTGTGTGTGGGGAAATATATGCGTGATTGTCTGTTGGTAAAGCCTATAAATATAGAAGCAGCAGAAAGGGGAAAGAAGTCTTTAGAGTCTTCTTTCCCTTGATTTACTTCTTTAATAATGTCAGGAGAATAACTTATTCATGGTTTGATTTTGCATGTTTGTACAGCTAACTTCATCATCTAGATCTAGTGTAACATGGTCTAAATTAGAAATTAAATATAGTGCATATACTTATCACAGAAAAACTATTTTGTTTCCTTTAGTCCTAGATTATTAAAATGATATGTGGTTCATTATTGCAGTAGTAAACTGTAAAATTTGCAGACTAAATTGCTGATTAAATGAGCAGAAACATAATCACACCACCTAGTTAAATAAGTGGAAAATGAATAGATGCTATCACACCTGCAGTGTCTTAATTTTGCGCAGACAACAGGGATGAAAATCACAGATATAAAGTGAACACTTTTTTTAGTAATGATTATGGAAAGGACTTCCTGGCTTTGTTTTTCCCTGTGTTTTGGAAGTAACACTAGACTCTTATGGCATTTTTAACGTCTATATATTTTTGATATTTTTGCTATAACACATAATAATGATGCAGTTTTAGTTCAGTTAATAGTGAAAGTGAATGTGGAGAATTTCACGCAATAAAAATCAGATTCGCTGTCTCTTATAAAAAGAAGATGGGTCAGACTGCTCTGCTCAGACACCTGTGGCTGTGTGGCCATGTTATACACATATTCAGAGCTAGTAGTAGAAAGAAAACAGAGCGTTTAGAACCGTCTCAGATGTCTATCTATCGATCTGTCTGCTTAACGAAACAAAAAATATAGAGAAAATAAGGAACGGTATAAAAAAGCCCACGTAAACAAGCCACAAAGCAGCTGTAATAACTCAGAGAATTCAAGAGTGAAAGTAAAAATTGGAGTGATTAGGCATTGAAATGGTTCCTTCACTTTTCCTTGCTTTTGTTTATAGTTTTATCTTCATTATTATTATCTCATAATATAACAAACAAAGTGGAAAAATTTGCATTGAATCCACTGCTTTCACTGGTTTTTAACAGAAACCCTGCGTGAAAATTGCCTTGTTATACGAATAATTCTTTTGTGCTGTGGTAGAGACCAGATTTACCCTAATGTGAATACATTTTTAAATTCTGTTTATATCAGCAGACTGTGATATGGATGATTATTTAGAGTTCACCGTGGGCAAGAAAATACAATAAATCCCATTCTTAAGCCAGCACCACTGCAACATCTCCATACAGAAGCTTTCACTGAGCTGTTTCAGAGTTACAGAAAGGAAATGATGAAGAACAAAGTCAATCACAAAGAGTATTGTGTCATCAAGAGATTTCATGTCTCATTTATAAAATATATAATGTTCCCTGTCCACAAAGCAGGCATTTTCTAATGCATTCACTTTGAGGTTGGTTTTGTTTTTGATCTGTTTCTGTTGTTCAAATACCCAGTTAGAGTGGATAAAAAGCCACAATGGAGAAAGAAAAATAAACATGCATTTTAATATTTTGACAGCCTTAGGGTAAAGAAAGCCTCAATGTGCTAAAATCCATATTTTTAGAATAACACTTTGAGACAGACACAGGATGGATTTTTGTGTGTTTTAGAGGTAAACTGCCCCCAAAAGTTTGTTCTGCAGTTTATTTTCCCTTGTGCTCAAATCACACATTTCGATGAAACAACACGCAGCTTTAATGACATTGGCACTGCAGATGGATAACACTCAGATGTCAAAGGAATGTACTGCCTCGTGTCGCAGACGCCATCTGCCCCTGTGTGACAGAGTATCAGGGCCCGGGTGAAACAGGTTCTGAACTTGCAACTAAAGTCATTTCTCCATGTTGCAGAATCAAAATTTTTGAGGTAAATAAACACATATTTATAAAAACAATATCATCATATTTAAAATGTAGCTCTAATAAAGCAGCCTGTGGTGTACTACAGATTTAAATGCTTAGGTGCTTGCAACTATACAAAATATTTCTCAAATTAATTCAGACAAATTGCATACAACTTATCTACAAAAACAAAAATAAGTTGTCCATGTAGCATATCTTCAATTTTCCAGCCTTACACTGGAATAAAAGTTTGATTCATTCTGGCTTTGAAATTGGGGCATTGTGAGGCGATCCTTTTCTGGTTCTTTTAAAACCTGATGTCCTCACACCTCGTGTGCCATGTTCCAACTATTTGGCTTACACAGATTAGATATGGCTGTAAATAAGCAATAACAGAACCATAGCCAGAAATGAGCGCCAAAAACTGTGCCTGAGGAGGGGGGGGGGGTGCTTCGTACCTCTGGATGACTTCTGCTGACTCCTGCTCCCTCTCTCTCCTTTTTCTCTGCACAAATCCCCGGAAAGCCCTGCCATGATGTGGCACAGTATTAAAGGGATGAGAGAGGGAGAGTGCTGGCATAGTGAGGGGTAGGACAGTGCAGGGAGGCTGATGCCACGGCTTTGAGCTGCAGGGGTTTTTGGGCTATAAAGAGGATGCTGTTGTAGGTAGACAGCAGATAGCTTTGACTAAAAAGACCAGCAAGGTAAATAACCCCATGTGCCAGTTTGCATCTATAATAATCCATCATCCCATAGAAATGAGTATCTTGTCACCTTAAGTGACTTTTCAAGTGTTACACTTTTCAATTCTTAAAGAAATAGTTTGTTTTGGGGGGAATTTTATACTTTTTTACTTTTTGTACCATCCCAGAATCAGTTCCGCTTTGCTTCTAGTGCACCCTTCTTTGCATTTTAATGTTATGTTGAGTTTGGAGTATACACTATACTTAAATCAGCTCTTGCAGGTATGTGAACTCAAAAAGCAGCTACACTCAAATACATGCACGTTCTTCAGTACTTTGGGTATTTATTCACAACATGAGGTACATCAATTTTTAATGGAAACATTTCTTGACATTAAAACTATCTTCCCCTAGCAAGACCTCTTAGAAAAGAAGGATTTTTCTTTTTGTGGAGGCATGCCATTCGTTCATATGAACTACTGAGAAACTTGAGTGTGTTCTGACTAGCAGAAAGTCATACCACTGGGCTCACACTGGACTTCCATGTGTCAAAGTACAAACGTGGTGTGAAATGTACCACTTTCAATGTGCGATTATGTCTTCAACAGTCTTAATTGTCATTTGAAAGTGTGACCCAACAATTCTGTGAAACTGATTAACATTTGTCCAAATCAGAGTTTTAGCTAGACTACCTTTAACCAGTGATACCCCACTGTGGGCACTTCACATTCTGCTCGAGTAAATAAAAATGAATGAGTAAAATCCCCCTCAAATAACATGCCCATTTAATGAAGAGGTGTGGCTTTACTTTCTATGTTTGGGAAAGAAATCCCATTTTAAGAAAACAAAAAAACAAACCCCAAAACAATATTGTGTTAATCCACTTCCACCAGACTGGCACTTCATGGCACCTCAGCCATAAAACTGGTCAGAAGTATCTCCAATTTTAGCTAGTTTACCTAGTCAAGTATTGATAATACAAAACAACAGAGTTGATCTTGGATATGTTATTTACAGGTTTTTAGAAATAGCACAGAGTCACATGAAAATGAAAGTTTTCAAAGGTCTCTATGCTGCCCTTTTAAAAGCTAAGTACACCCCAATGACTCAAAGGAGTTGTGGAGGAATTTTGGCCCATTCTTCTTTGCGAGGTTGCTTTAGTTCGTTATGGTTACCAGCCATTTGTTTTTGCACAGCTCTCTAAAGTGCTACCACAACATTGCTACTTACTTTGCCTGGGATGATTATCTTGTTGCATGAACTAAATTTGGCTAAGGTTTAGCTCTAGGACACGTGGCCTAACATCTAGAACACTGGTTTACTGATGAGTTCATGGTCAACTCAGTGAGTGCAAGATGCCCAGGTCCTGTTGCAAAAATCATCTTCCCTGCACCACCATGCTTGACAGTTGCTATGAGGTGTTTTTGCTGGTATGTTGTGTTTGGTTTTCACCAACATGTGCCACGTGCCACTGTGCATTATGGCAAAACATCTCAAGAGTCAAACCTAGGCCTGCTGCCATGGCAACTCTTCCAACAAGCCATACTAGTTCAATCTTTTTCTAATTGTACTTTCATGAACTTTGACATGTAACACGCTAACAAGTCTAATTAACTGATTAATCTAATTGTGATTAACAGCACTTTCCTGCTACTTACCTCCTTGATTTCTATGGAAACAGTAAGGGTGTACATAGATTTTCATAGACTACACAGATATCTTTGAAAACTTTCTCTCTCAAATGATGATATATTTAATCATACATACTGTTTAGTACAATCAGTTAATTTGGGGTTTTTATATTTTTATAACAAATACTGACATCAGGACTGAATACCTTTGTGCTTACAACTGAAGAGTGGACTGTTTAATAAAAACCTGACATGTTTTCAGTGTTAAGTAGCAGCTCGGATTAGCTGGGCTTAGTTAGTCACAGTGTGTTGCAGCAGGAAGGGGTATGTAGTATGAAATGTTAAGGTTCTGGCTTGGTTAAGCAGTGTTAATATGTTAGCATTTATCTTATCGCTGAAGCTAGTTAGGAAGCTTTTGCACACAGCACATTTCTTACAGGCTATTTATCTATCAAAGTTTTATGGAACTTACTGAATACAGCCAAAAGTTGCATTTTACTGGAAGACACTTGGATTGAATTTTTGCACTATAAATACTTGTTCTTGTACTTATGAAATCTCTCAGACACATTTAGTTCCAAACATGGCTGAAGTCAGCCAGCACAGATTTAGTGATAATTAGGAAGGCTGTGAAGAAGGATTAGAGCACCAACATAACTAACACAAATATCTTAAATGGCCAAAGTCCCTCTATTGCTGTGACCTAGACGAGTGTGTGCGTGCCAAACTGGTAAAACTGCAGGGCGCATGTGAGCTGCCAGGGTTTAGGTCAGCCAACGCACAGACATTTTCTGTACTTGAGCTTGGCAGGCTTACTCAGCAGCACTGGATTACACCGGACTTCCCTTCTGTCACATTTTTACATGAATTAACATTATTTGTGCTGACTGCGCTTTATAGTTGTTCAGAGAGCTAAACACGCAATATTAAATGTATTTCAGTTTTCATATTATTTGAGAGCACTGCGCTACATCCTGCTTGGTTCTCTCTTGTAATGATTTATTTTCTTTAACTCAGCGCAACAAGCAGCCCGATGATGAAGGTTAAATGATAGCATCTAAGTTAAGGAACAGCAGTTAAGGACGAGGGATTTAGATGAGGAAAAAAGAAATCAGGCAGGGAACAATACTCACGAGATCCTGTTTGATGGTCCCAAGATTAATTAGCATGCAAGAAGAGAAGCAAGAAAGAAGAAGAAACAGTTAAGGCACCAGAGAGCACTGAGTCTCAGAGAGGCAAAGAACAGAATCAGAATGAGACAGAGGAAGTTTATGTTTAATCTCCATGTGTAAAAACGAATAAAGTAAAGCCATATTAGTGCCGTAGGTTTGCATTTAATTATAGAATCAAACAGCTTTTGCGGGATATGTGGTTGAGTGTGACTTTGGGCTCAACAGATGGTGCAACAAGCATCTAATACAAGGTGAAAGGCGAAAACACAAAGTGAATGACTTAAAAAGAGGTAAAATGACAGTGAAGGGGAGAAACAGTTTGCTGGAAACGGTGGGAGATTCTGCATATTTTAATCAGAAGTTGTGACAGTAGAAATATTCTGCAACTGCAGGTGTTTTTGAGAGATAAATTCATGCACTTACACAAATAGGTGCACGCGTTTTTATTCAAACGTGCTGACTAATATTCCAGCTCGAATGCACATGCAGCATTGATTTTACGGCCCTCAAAAGGGGTGTTTTCAGGTTTTCGTGTAGACTAGTAATATGGACAACGATAAATATGATGATGCATATGAGATGAGAGTGATCAGTCTAAGCATTTCTTTTATTCTTCTTTGAAGAAAAACTTGCAGCTGATTACATTTTAACCAAAAGGAAATGTGAGAATTAACAAAATAGTCACTATGATGGATGTCCTCCTTAAGCAAAACTTATAATAGTTTGCAAGTTGATTTTTAAACTTGCTCACGGGGAAGTCAATGGCAGCCTAGAAGATAATAAATCAATTAGAAAATCCTTAATGTTAAGTATGCCAGTAATGGTCTGTTTCTAGGCAGTTGTATAAGACATTGCCACGGTACGTTTACTCTGACCTTTCAAACAGCAGATCTGGCATAATTGTGACTGTGCATGTTTGTGTACGTGTGTGCACAGGAACTGGACACTCACGCCTGCATGGTTGTTGTAGCAGTTTGAAAGGTGAACATATTTTCCTTGGGGAACCAGTTGGTGTCCTCTGCAATTAGAGAGAAAAATGAGGTTTCCGAGTTTAATAGACAGAGAAAAATAGACCATATTGGCAAATGTCGTAGTAAATTTATTGGAAATATGAAATCACAAAACCAGCACCAGCACTTCACAGTCCAGCACTCCACAAATGGAGAGAGGGAGACACAAAGGAAGAGACAGCAGAGGAAAGAGACGGGCAGACGAAGAGTCAAAAATACAGATCACCACGTTACAACATCAAACTCTCGATCCCCTCCAGACCTGAGAAGAAATAGATTTGAAGTAATAAATATAATATTAGCTTATTTTAATGCAGGCATCCGTTATTTTTGTTTTGTTTCCTTAGACTGATAAACACTGATAGCAATAAGTGTTATTTCTTGACATTTTATGAAGGGCTTATTTGTTACTTGTTTTATACTCAGGTATTATAAATAGAGTTTATATGGAATCTTAAGTTTAAAAAAAAGTAATCTGATGGAGAAGATTTTCGTGAAAACTACCAAAGGTGTGTTTTACTAGTGATTTTATAACCTACATTTGCACTATTTTTCATCACTATAACATCCTTCATTCACTCGTCCATTTTCTTAACTATTCATCAAACCACACACCAAGCTGGAATCACCAATTAACTTAACAAGCATGTCTTTGGACTTTGGATACAAACCCATGTAGGCACAGGGGGAACATCAAGTCTCTACATGAAAGGGAAGACAAGAAGCTTCTTACTGTGAGGCCACAGTGCTAACCGCTGCACCACTGTGCCGTCCTTTAAACGTCATGAATTAAAAAGATGAATTTTTGTGGAGAAGTCTCGAGCCAATCCTCATTTTCTTTATGTTTTGCTTCCAAGAATTCATTGTAATTTTTAGAGCGGTCTTGAACAATAGTTCTCTCTTGTTTCAGTCCAGTGCTTATACCTGATCATTTCAGAGGAATGCTTTATTGTTGTTTGTTAAGCCACTTAACATTGATCTATTTATCACCCCAACATTAAAAGGCACCTAAGTAATGAACCAGAGCTGCACATAACAGACAATTTTATTCAGATAACTTTAACTTCAATCTTTAGGCACTTTATTACAAGAAGCCTGCCAAAAAGACCATGTTGGTTTCCATTTCTTTCATTGGATCTACAAATAGTATTTTGTACACCGAGACAAGTGTAATTTGTTGAAAATTTGCAGCGTGTCATTGAAAATTTAAGAAACTGGACAAGTGGAGAACATCATAGGCAATAGGAGGCCTAAAAAAAAAAAAAAGAAAAGCCCTATCTAAATCAGATCAACAGTATTTTAAAGTCATGGAAACAGGCAGGGGAAAAAAGTTAAAATCAGACAGAAGAGGAGTGTCTACAGCCATCTGCAAAACACGGTGGGGGCTCTGTCATGGTTTGGGGCTTCATTTCAGCCAGTGTTGGAGATCTTATCAAAATTGATGGAATTCTGAAATCCAGTCCATTTTTAGCCACAGTGCAATACCATCTGGAAAGCTAATTGGCATTGGCCTCATTGTTCCGCATGACAGTGATCCCAAGCACACTGCCAACACCCTGCAAACTGTATACCTGAATGTCTGGATAGAAAAGCACACAATGAAACACTATCAGTCATGGATTGCCCCCCGGAGCCCGGACCTCAACATTACTGACACACAGTGGGATCATCTTGACAGAGAACGGAACAAAAGGCAGCCGACATCCAAAGAAGAGCTTTGAATGTCTTTCAAGAAACTTGGAGAACTATTCCTGAAGACTGCTTAAAGAATTCAAAGAAGGCTTTCCCAAGAGAGTTCAGGTTACGTTGAAGAATAAAGGCGGTCATATCAAGAATTGTACAAACATTTTTGCCTTATATACCATATTGCCATGTATGTTTGCACATGTTTCTATAACTTGTTGCACCAATTTTATATTTTCCCTAACAAAATATTAAGGAATGAGGAGTGGCTCAAGAGTTTTGCACTGTACTGTAGTTTCTTTTTGCCATTTTCTATTATTTTTTCTGCTTCTTTGTACTAATAAAGAGGCTTTAACTTTCAGCATAAAGTGCCTTGAAGCAACTGTTGTTGTGATTTGGTGCTATACAAATAAAACTGTATTGAATTGAAGTGAATGTTTAAGTAGCTATTCTTATTGGTTTATATACAAAACATCATCACTGTTAAAGTTTACTAAAAATGTAAAATATTAATAATTACCATTATAATTATTTGCTTCACAGAGAAAATATACTCTTCTATTGATTCTGTTAGTTTGACTTAATTATATACATCGTATGTCAAATTTAAAGTGTATTTAATTTATTTAGAAATAACTACATAAAACTGAAAAAAGATCAAAATCTATTTCATCTCTGGTCCCATACCCATTCCAGCCACAGGGCTTTATGGAGAACCTTACACTACCCTCCCCCCCACTTGTTTGTGCCTTTTGAGCCTCTACCTTCCTTTGTGTCCTGAACCCTCTCACCTCTCTCCAGCCCAGTCATCCGGTCCACACTCCACATCCGCTCTAGGCGTCGGTGCTGCTTGCCTGCCTCTCTCGATGCACTCTCCAGGTCCAGGGAACCCTGGCTTCGAGAGGGAGCAGTACTGCACGACTCACAAGCCAACCCGCTACACTCCGCCTCCCCTTTTCCACCTTCGCCCCAGCTACGAATGTTGTGGGCGCTGACCGAGGTCTGCAGTGGAGGCTGAGACAGGTGATGATGATGGTGGGTGTGGTGGTGTGATGCATGATGAGAGTGAGAGCCTGCAGCGGTTAGCTGCGGCTGCTGGTTGCTACTGCTGCTTCCACTTGCCGCGCTACTTCCTCCGCTGCTGGAAGGTGGATTCATGCTCGAGACATTGTGGTGGTGGTGGTTTCCATGATGGTGCATACTATGGTGATGGTTGCTGTGATGGTGGCTGCCACAGCTGCTGGTGCCACGGCCACTGCTTACGCGATGGTACTGGGTTGGAGACGATGAGGCGGAGGAAGGGGAATTGGAAGGCTGGATCGAGCCACCCCTAGATCCTACCCCACTGCTCCCCGACTTCTCCTTTAGGACGTCCAGTTCGAGGCTCTCCTTGCTGCCCTGGCCGGCGCTCATCAGCATACCGTGCTGGGTGGTGATGGTGTACACACGTGAAGGCTGCAGTGTACACTCCACACACTTCTGCTGGTCTTCCTCCACTGAGAAGCTGCGTTCGAGGGACAATCGTGCTGGTGCCTTGTTAGAAAGTGTGATAGAAGATGGGGTTGGCTGGAGTAAGCCCAGTGGCTGTGTCACTAGGCTGGTCTCCTGTTTGTCCTCACAGCCCTTAGTTTCAGAACAGGGATGGAGGTGGTTGTTGTTGTTGGGGCCAAATGTGTCACTTGGCGACTCCGGGTCAGGACCCACCAAGGTTTCACACAGAAGATGAGCTAGAATTTGAAAAACGAAGATGGTTATAAAGACAACTAAAAGTGCTAAAGAATGAGAAATATACCAAGGTGCTAAAGAGCAAGAAAACAGAAAGAGTGGGAAAAAAATGACAAGCTGGCACAGTGGATAATCATCTTTCTTCGGTTATCAGCTGTCATCGTGACACACCAATGAGTGCTTCCTGGCATTTCAGCAGAGGATGAGGTGAGAAAAGAACTAAAAGCATAAAGGAACACACACAGGGGAGATAGAGGGATGGACAAATGACAGGATGGCAGAGACGCTGACCTGATCCGTTTCGGTTTTCAGGGTGTGTGTGGGACAGGTACTCTCCAAATGCTCGCGCTGCTCTGTGGGGACACACACACACACACACACACACATACACGACACACATAAAGACATTAAATCATGGGTGGAAAGGAGGTATGAGTGGGAAAGAAGAGAAAGGGGAGAGAGAGGAGAGAAGGGCAAGGGAATTGTAAATTATAATCCTAATTGCCTTCTTTGTAGGCTTGTGCCACCCACAGATTAAGATGGAGCCGTTTTATCTCCTCGCTCCAGACAACCCCAGCCTGAGGGAGACAGAGTTTGAGACAACAGGAGGCGATAGAGTGAAGGATTGTTTTAGGGCGACTTAATTTCTCAGTGGGTCCTCAGTTTGCATTGATAGGTGTAATTGCAGATGGCAGACTGTGGGTGTGCTGGGATTTTTTTGTTTTGTGGCTGCACTTACTATATCTGTGAATACTTGACCTTGACAGCAACAGACCAAGATTGTTAATGTGCTGGTAGAAACAAAAATAGATGCTAACAGGTTAATCTTTTACTCACAACTCTTTGCAGGTTACAACACTTTACAGATACACATTTAGCCACATATAGCAAAAATTAAATACCAAGGAGGGCTTCTCCTTTAAAAATAATAGTCCCAGATCTCACGGTTGATTGACACTGACCTGCTAATGTTCCTCTAGTGATTCTGTGTAATGGAAAAGGGATGAGAGAGACAAAGATGTTCTTTCAGTGTCAGTATAGGTACTCTGGAGAAATGTACTGCAGTGATAGCTACAAGGAATGACAGAGGAGAGGACATGAGAAGTGAGTTAAACACTGTATGCTTACAATGAGTTACTGTGTAAGAAGAAAATACCACTGTAGTAGTTTTTACCATACAAGCAAACCACCGGCTAAGCTCTTGAAATATGCTGTTTATAGTTTCAACTTTCCAACAGCAAGCTCGATGAAAAAGAAACCACCTACTGCTCTATTAAGGGATCTATAATTCAGCCCATTTTAACACTTAATGTTTTTAATGTATTAATTTTACTTGAACACTGTCAGCTGACTGTATGCAGACTTTAAATGCTGAGTTTATCTCTAAAATGGAAGCATTATGCATATTATATTTATTTTTAATAATAATCTGATGTGTTCACAATATCAATATCAGTTATACTAACATACTAGTTACACTAGTACTAATTGAACACCGCAGCCCAAATGCTCCTAGTGGTTATGCTTTCCCAATACAGCTAACTGCTGACGTATCTGTGCTGAAGAATCCCTTGTATGCAGGAGAATCTGTGGGTGTACACCTCCGCCCGGCACCACCGTCAATTATTAAAGCCTGTCCAGCACAGTAAGCATACACACACATACACAAACTGACTCACACAATCTCCATCACAGAAAGAGCCGGAGTGCAGTGAAAACACTTCTCTCACACAGTTTCTTATTGAGACACAGCTCTGTATTCTTAGTGCACTCTGTGCTCTTTCACCCCTTTAACCCTCAAGGCTCCTCTTGAGACAATGCACAAAAACAAACCTGACTGACAAACCTGACTTTTCCATTTAATGATAAAACCTGACCTGTTTATAGCAGTCCATATAGGCATATTCTACAGCCTGTCATATGTGCCATACTGAAATGTAAGCAATGTAAGTGAAATAACTAGCAGTCCAGTAAGAGAAGTTAATATTCCTGTACATATTCTCACCTCTAGATATCTGTAAACCTTAAAAACTATAAAACAATTTTGTCCTTAAGTTTGACCCGAGCATAGAACCATATAATTGTGATAATATGTGTTCTGATCCACGTCCCTTCAGCCTCCTTCCATTGCTGTGATGTACAAATACTGGAATAAATAAAGAAATATAAAGCGTGGTTGTACAAATTAATGCACATTTTCCACATACAGTGGGTTTTGATAGTACTCTATTATATTGCTAATAGAACCATGCAAAAGAAGAAGATTGTGTCATTAAATGGCCAAACTTCACATGATAGAAGGGAAATACAACATTTGTGTTCATTACCTCATTACTCATTGATCAGCACAAGATTGGGAGCCTCAATTAAAAAACTGGGAGCAGAAAACAACATATAATCCCATCTTTAACCAAAGTGACATAAGTTATCTTCCTAATGGTTATGTTTAGCCCAATCCCCTGTACTGGGATATTGTCTTTCAAATAGATCACTTATCTCCTTGGTCCTTGGGTGCTACGAACTAAATCCTCTTCTGTGTGACATTCAGCCACTAAAGGTGAGCATGGACCAAAAGTAAATGTAAGTAAATTTAATTGAAGTTAATTCAATTCAATTTAATTCAACATCAAGGCACTTTATACTGTTTAGGTCTAACAATCAGACAACCCTCTATGAACAAGCACTTGGTGACAGTTGGAAGGAAAAACTCCCCTTCAACAGGAACAAACCTCGGGCTTCCACACACTGTGGAAGAGAGTCAGAGATTAATAATAACTAACAATTTTAAAATAAAATCAGTTCAGTTTTATTTAAATAATGTCAAATCACAACAGTTGCCTCAAGGTGTCGTATATTGTAAGGTAAAGACCCTACAATAATACAAAGACAACAGAGAAAAGCCCAACAATCATATGACCCCCTGTGACCAAGCACTTTGGCGACAGTGGGAAGGAAAAACTCCCTTTTAACAGGAAGAAACCTCCAGCAGAACCAGGCTCAGGGATGGTGAGGGGAGGAAGACAGGACTAGGTCATGCTGTGGAAGAGAGCCAGAGATGAATAAGAACTCGTTTTAATTTAATGCAGAGTGGTGTATAAACACACAGAGACTGAAAAGAGTTAAGTGAAGAAGAAACAGTCAGCGCATCATGGGTAACCTCCAGCAGCCTAGGCCTATTGCAGCATAACTGAGGGCTGTCTCAGGGTCAGGTAATTTATATGATAAGAGTTTGCAGATGCTGTAGTGCTGATCTTTATCTCAATTAAATTCACACTAGATGTTTTTGTATTGTTCACTGCTAAAAACATTTTGAAGCGTGAACTTTTTCTCAGCTCAATGAGGGCTCAGTAGTATGTGTATGCCTCTGACCCAACCTTTCCACGCTGGGGATTTGCAGAAAGGTGGTGCGGTTGTTAGCACTGTATTTGAATCCAGCTGTTTGTAGTTTCTGTGTTCTCCCTGTGCCACGTGCTGGTCTGCACTATGACAGCTGGGATAAGCTCTAGCACAAACCAAAACCCTGAATTGCATAAATGGAAGAAAATGAATGGATAGATGAACAGACCTCAGTTCAACAAGTTTTTACTGCAAAACAAAAACCTCACACAGAACAAATTAACCGGTAATTTTAAATGTTTCTTGTGTGACCGCAGAGTCTTTTGGCTTCTACACTGTTCACTGTCAATGGTTAAGACTGCAGCTAATGTAAACCAAACCTTTGAGAGTTTGGGGGTGTTGTTGAGGACTAAGGCTCTGCACGTGCTGTGTCACCAACCAGCTCCTTTCACCACATTTCTAAAAATAGCTCACCATGCCGCTGCAGTTCTGCTACAGCAACTTCTTCTCAGAAACCCCCGACTTCTTCAGTTGTAATGGGCATAAAGCTGCGTGTGCATGTGCTTGCATACGGACATGTGAGTCTAATGGTACTTAAGGGCATTAAGAAAAAGAAATGTTTTAGTTTGTGTGTGCCTGCAGTAACAATAATCACAATTAAGGACACTTGTGATAAATGTAGTCTATACTTTAATCAGCAGGTGTCCCTCAGAACCTCTGATACATTTTCATTTGGCCCACCTGTTTTATAATTCAACAGGCTGGGCACTCTGATTAGAATCAGCAAACAATGGTGCAAGAGGCACGCATCCTCCATTATACATGAGAGGAAACAGAGCTGGAAATGGATAGAGCAGAACGTCTCTCAATCATCCACTACACAAAACCTTTCTCTCTACAGTGCCGTCTTATATTCACAGTTTTGCACCAGCTTCATATGTGATACGTGAGCACAGCACGGGGGCAGTGAGGTAGCAACTGATAAATAGTCTCCGGTGAAAAATGATGAAGGGAAGGGAAAGGAAGAGCTTGACAGTTAGATATGAAATTCGTCCTGCGTGCTCTCAGCCATGTGACCGGGGTTTGGGGAAAGAGACAAGTTAGGGAGGGGAGATTCTGAGGAGCAGGGAAGTGATTACAGCTGAGAGGAAGAGCAGTGTAGAAAAATTTGACCATATTAAAAATGAAAGAAGACTAAACCTGAGGAAAGACAGGTGGATAGAAAAAGGACATCAGTGTTTTTTTTAATTTACAATAAAACTCTTTAAATTTCAACAATTGTCATACTAACTAATGTAGTACGCTACTGTTTATTAGTACAGATGCTTAAGGTAAGCGTCAGAGCATCTGTTTTCATTGACTCTGCAGCTTAGGAGACAACAACATGAAAACGGTTGACATCCTGCTATGTTGTTGCCTACTTGGTGAGCTGCAATGCTGAAAAGTAAGCAAAAAGCATCACTTGTGTCCGTTTTCCCTGTTGCATCAACCATGTCTTGCATATTTATGATTGTGCACATCACCGTTTGGTACCTTAAGCTGTGATTATGGTTGATGCACTTGCAATTGTTTGTCCGAATTATCACACCAAGACAACCCTGTAACCATTGACTGGCAACTCAGAGAAAGAAATCATTACTTGGGTGGGAATAGCAAAAATTGAAACAGAAATCAAAGTGATTGCAGAGATTTTCTTCAAAGTTTTCTACTGAATCTCTTATATCTTCAGCCTGTTGCAGTATTCCTCTCAGTACCACCTGCAAATCTCTGTGCTCCTGCACTATTGTATCACCGAAACAGCTACAAAGACTGACCCACTCATACAATCATGTCACCAATCAGGCCGTGTGGCTGCCCCCTCACACCAGGCTAGAGAAATCAAGGGGCACACTGCAAGCCGAAATGACACCAGAAAGCAGCACCCGTCAGTCAGCTATGACTGACTGTCATACACTGAATCTAGATACGTGAAAATGCAGCATCGCCTGGACTAATGGGCCATTCTTTTGTGTCTGTT